AGCCTTCGCAATATGACATAGTCCTTTTTAGGTAGCCGAGAAAAGACTAAGGGGAAGCAGTAAATTACACTAGGTAAGAAGCAAGAGTTAACAGATTGTAAAGGTAACGGTTGAGTGGTTCGAGATTGTCTTAACTTCTTAATGTAGAACATTAAACGGAGCATTTTTATAGAAACCAACAATATACTGGGTGACCAAGACAGATCAGAGGATAGAACTGTAGCAGTAGGTATTTTATGTCCTCTAAACTACAAGCATCGTGTGAACTAATGACTTCATTAAGATCACGTTTATTCCTGAGGGTGAAATCAACTGTCCGACATTTGGAGGAATTTAACGTGAGACCATTAATCTTAGACCACTGGTTAATGTTGAACAGAAAGCTATTCAGTTTGGAATAGTCAGCTCGGCAAGTAATTGGCAATGAGACAGTAAGGTCGTCAGTATATTTAATAAAATTGATTTCTTCAGAACATGGCAAGTCATGTAAAAAGAGGACGGGAGACAGCAGCAACATGAAGAACACCAGCTTCAGTAAGCAAGGAAGAGGAAGATTTACTTATATATACAGTATACTGCTTTATATTTGAGAAATAAGATTGCAATCGGGACTCACTTGGTGTAATGAAAAGCTTATTTAACTAAAGAAATCTGGGAACATTGTCTGTTATAAATAAGTTTCATAATCGCTGAATTGATTACTCAAAGTTAGTTTAGTAAAATTGCAGATATAACGAGTTACATTGAATATTTTCCACCGGTACAAAAGACTCACTGTCCCCATTTTTGTTTAATGTCATCATAGATGTACTCATGGTATTGATCCTACCTGACTTTAGTGACTTAAGGATTGACTTGTTACCAGGGAACAGTCCTGTTGACTCAATATACAGATGACACATTCCTAGGTGAAGACCCCCCTGATAAAGTGCAGAGTCGTGTAAACACCTTGAGCAGCAGCAATCTTAGAATGTTTAGTGTGCGATTGGCTGCTGTCAAATGTAAGATGATGCTACAGGACTGAACTGCACCGATTCGTAGCTTGGAGATAGGGAGTGAAATGGTAGAGCAGCGTGTTGACTATTCCACTTATTTTGGAATTTGCATTATCCCTAATGGATTAATTCCTCAGGGAATCTCGGCAGAGGTACAAAAGACTCATAGGCCATATAGGAACTTATATCACTTCTGGTTTAGACATAATATCCGGACATATGTGTGATGTGAAAGGGTTCATTTTTCCTTTCTTAATGTCTGGGATACATGACCATTGAAAATAGAAGACCTGAAGAATTTATCGGTCTTCGATCACAGATGTTTGTTTTCTCCTGTGTTCATTGGTGTAATTTGGTGAGTAATACTGACGTCAGGCGTTGAGTCTTTTGTAGGAATTGGAAGTCATTCGATATGCTTATAAAGCTTCGTGGATTAAGATGGTTAGGACATGTGTGTAATGCATGCCTAGCCATCACCTTCCTCGACAGGAAATTTCAGCTGACATTAGATTCAATTTCAACAGAGTCAAACGTAGTCAAATGAAAATATTGTATTGATCCATGAAGTGTTTAACATTTGATTTGAATCACTTAGGAAGGTGTAGTAGAGTGCCCGACTGGTTGGGGTCTTCAACATGCCAAGAACTATAGTGGTTGGAGACTGTTGGTGGTGATATTGTCTCAAAATCGTTATCAATGGCTGGCACAGATGTATTCACTCTTTATGATAATAATAACAATAATTTGAATAAGGCATTTAGAAGACAAATTTCGCAAGATGATATCTTCATTTCGTAGTTTCTTTACAACTGCTTTACAACTAACATGGTTCACAATAATCAAATAAAATAAAATGCATGACAATTACTCAGTTATATAAAACAAAAGTACATACTAATGACCAATCATATTTAAATAGGCCAAGTAGTCCATGCTAGGCAACATTAATTGAAGTCTTTTGTGTTTTGTACACACAGTTTAGGTTGTATGTGATTAATCCCCAAAGTGTTTCCATCACCTTCAATAACCAACCTTGAATTAGAGTTATGTGAAATAATTGTGAAACATTCATTAATATTGGTTTTGTGACCTAACATTAATAAGTGCTTTGCAATGGATGATGACGCTGGATATCTATTCAGATTAATTGCACATGGATTTTCTATATGTTTTAATAACCACTTTGCAACATGTCCTTTTCGACGACATTAGACTATTCTATTGGTTCTACCTATATATGTGTGTGTCACCGAAACTAGGTGAACTTGTAGATACAGTTTGAAGTAGAGTCCACAGAATTTCGTCCTTTAATCTTAGGTACAGGGATCGAAAATGTTCGGCATGTGAGAAAACGAGATGCGGCGTAGAATGTGCGTTTGATGGCTGATCGAAGTCTTTGAGCTGTTAGCTGCGTAATCTGATAACCCTTGCATGGTAGGTAAATGAAGATACCTTTCTTTGGTACAGAAGCTTTGTTTTCTAGATGTTATTTATCCTTACTGTGACAATTGAAAAAGGTTTTTGGATCATCATTAGCTAATAAAACTGAATGTGTATGTCGAAGCTTGTACATAATTTGCGTTACTGAAGGTGTTGGAGGCACTTTGGGGATTAATCACATACATTCTAAACTATGTGTACAAAAACAACACAATAGACTTCAACCTTCGCCTACCATGGACTGACTACTTGACCTATATAAATATTATTGATCATTAGTATGTACTATTGTTTTATATAACTGAGTAATTGTCATGCATTTTATTTTATTTTATTATTGTGAACCAACCATGTTAGTTGTAAAGCAGTTGTAAAGAAACTACGAAATGATGCCATCATCTCGCGTCGTCGGTGGCACTTTGGTTAGGACTCTCACCGACCATGCACATGGTCCGGGTTTCGGTCTCCTGCCGACGCACACCCGATATCAATGGTCGACTTGCAAAATTTGGGCTACCGATATCACATGCTGAAAATTCCTTACTTCTACTAAAAAAGGTACTGTGTGGAATCAAGCTGCAATCAAAAAAAAATTTGTCTTCTAAATGCCTTATACAAATTTATCAAAGGGACTAACTGTTTCTAATAATAATGATGATAATTACAATAATGATTCGCTTTATTTCAAAAACAGTACTTATTATACAGCATAAAATTGTCAGCATTGAGTACAGCATTGCATGGAATTTAATCAGTGGCAAAATAACATTACGTAGTATAGATAACCAATGTTGATAATAGCATGTGTGGTTATTCTTTGTGACGTGAATTTTCGCCTTTACCTGTACTTGTATGCTCTTTGGAGTGTGATAGATTTTAACTGTTTCACTTCTGTGCAGAGTTCTACGTGAAAAATCCGTCAGTTAGTCAGGTATCATTCTGATTTCACACTAGTAACTAGTGTGATGCGGCTAGTCCTCTCTTTGGTGCGGACTGAATTCTATCAGTCAGGTTGTAATGTGACCACCATTTTAGGTAGCTCGCCATCACGGTGTACATTGTTTGTGATGATATGAGATGGTTGGAGGCAATCGGCAGGAAGCCTTGGACCTAAGTTTCGTGCCAGTTGGCACTCGTCAGCAAGGCGTATCTGCAACCTTGAAGGAACTCATGTCCCTTCTGAGATTCGAACCCGCGTCACCCAGTGCTGCAGTCAGAGACGTTACCACTGAGCTCGAATAGCTCAGTGGTAACGTGAACTTAACGACTTAGGAATCGACTTATTACCAGGGAATAGTCTTATGGACTTGGAATATGCAGATAACATAGTCCTGTTAGGGGAAGATGCTGACAAAATGCAGAGTCTTCTGAACGCCTTGAGCAGCAATCTTCGTATGTTTGGCATGTGATTCGCCCCTGTAGAATGTAAGATGCTGCTACAGGACTGGACTACGTCAACTCCTAGCTTAGTGATGGGGAGTGAAGTGATAGAACATGTTGACCACTTTACCTATTTGGGAAGTTGTATCAGCACCAACGGACTGATTGGCGACAAAATCTCAGCACGGATCCAAAAAGCTCGAGCTGCTTTCGCTAACTTACACCATCTCTGGCGTAGGCGTGACATCCGGTTATCAATCAAGGGACGTGTGTACTGCTCAGCAGTTCGCTCCGTCCTTCTCTATAGCTCTGAAAAATGGCCAATACGAGTTGAAGACGACATGAAAAGGTTGTCTGTTTTTGATCATAGATGTCTACAATCTCTTTCTCACGTTAGGAGGTGGTATAATAAGGTAGGTAATGTTGACGTTAGGCGTAGAGTGTTGAGCAAAGAGGGAAAATCAATCGAAGAGGCTATAAAGTTACATAGATTGAGATGGTTAGGTCACGTGCTACGCATGCCTAACCATCGCCTCCCCCGACGGGCATTACTAGCTGATATAGGTGCAGGTTGGAAAAGAGTAAGAGTAGGTGGTGGCCAAACAAAAACATGGCATCAGTCCATGAAATCCTTCACAGTTAAACTGAGTCAGGTAGGGAGGGAGATGCAGACTTCCGGGTTGGGGCCCGCCCTCGGGACTCCAAGAATCACTGGCTGGAGACAATAGGTGAAATGGCTCGAAATCGTTGTCAATGGCTTACACAGATGTATTCAGTCTCGTTAACCTTCATATTCCTTTCTACCACCATTACTCATTCTGTTTCACTCTTATACTTGTCAAAACTCTATTGATTCTCTTCACTCATCTTCTTGTCTACCTTTGTGTGGTGTTTGAAATGGGGCAAATCGAACTGCTGCACTTTGGTTCCAAGTTCTAGGTTACTGGGTTAGCGTCTTGGTAGGAACACCATAATTCTCTTCCTCATTGGGGAATGCATGTACATCTGGCTACCTGATAAATCAGTCCCAGAACAAGATGAAAGGCACACCTTGTTCACCATCTATCTCTCTACTGAATTACTTCGTGAGGAACTCCTGTTCATTTCCTTTATATATATATTCATTTACTTGAATGAGGTTTCACAGAGTTTTGTGTTTTCCCGTGTTTTTGTTTTGTTTTTTAGTCAATCGATTACCTATACTTGATCCACTTCTCAGATAGATACAGTTTTAACGATATTGTCCGTCTTTGTCAAAAGGAAATGCCTAGCTGGTTAGCGGATCGTATTATACCGTCAGTGTTTGCTAAACGGTGTCTTGAACTGCGTTTGTAATCTCATGATCTCATGAATTACTATAATTTTTTTTATTCCTTAATTTTATACTCTGTCCTCAAAATATGCACAAAATATTTTGATTCTTTCTTTTTTTTAAGCAGAAATTAGATTATGGAATTTATTCATATATATGCGTTTTGACTTCTAATTGATTTTGCTCTTGCTGCACAATTTGGTGGCATCCAACTTTTCTTATCAGTGTTAATCAGTAAGTATATAGCACCTTGACTTTTATATAAGTCAGTTTTGTGCAGTTGTGGCCTTATTGGCTTAGGCAGGGAGTCTTTTCAGTCTAAGTGAAACTTCGCCTCCCCGAATCGAGGATATACGGCGACTCTGCGTATTGGATCGTCACCCCTACCTAGTGGGATTGTTTATGTCCATTGGAATCATCGTTTGAGTAATTCTGAGGTCCGTCAATATGTGTTTGGGTACGGTAGAGATTACCGCCAGGTGCTACGTGTGTCATTCAAGAAGCCTCCCTACCGATATCTGTGTTCACTAGCCACCTTCGAGTAGATGGGAAAAACGGAGGGATGGACAATCTGTGAAATTTTGATGCATAAAGGTGTATGCATCACATAATATAGCGACAAAGAGAAGGAAAAGAATAAAGATTTGATCAGAGATGCATTCTCATTGGGTAAATTTAACGGGTGCGGTATGTGCAAACTACTGTGCAAAGATTGGCAAGGGCCTGTACCTGCACTCACCCTTTCAGGTGAACTGCTTGAAATTGTCGTAAAGTTTGTATATCTAGGTCGGAGATGTGGCGGACGAGATCTCTAACCGTACAGTGAGAGCTAAGGGTGGCATACGCCAATTTACACCGTTTGTGGTACCGTCGCGTTGTCAGTCTGGTTCTGAAAGGCAGGGTTTACAATGCTTTGTTGCTCTCACTATTGCTCTTTGTCTGTGAAATCTGGCGTATCCTAGCTGAAGATGTGCGGTGGCTGCGTATTCGGTTATCGCGGTCTCCGTAGAATTGGTTGCGTCTAATTACAGCGTGTGTTTGGACACGGTAAAGATCACCATGCATTGAGTGTTGTCGTCATTCGGAAACACTAGCTTCGATGACATGGACATGTGTTACGAATATCATGCCAGAAGCCTCCGTACCGATATCTGTGTTCGTGAGACTGGATGGAAAAAGCAGAGACGTGGTCAGCTTACTATGACGTGGTGTGGTGGGATGAAGGATAATTTTGTGTCGGGTTAGCATCAGATAATACATCAAGACTCCCCCTGATTGGGGTCCGGAAGTTATTTCTGATCGGTGACTTGAAAGGCTATCAGATATGATCGATAAGCACAATCATCAATGGTCAACATACTGCAATTAATTTCCCCTTTTCTTTCCATCCTGAAAGTTGTAACATGAAGTGATGGATGTTGAATGATTCCTGCCTTCTGTATGATGTCCGTCTTTCATTCTCCCGTAATTTTCTCTCTATATATTGTTGTTGTGTGGTGCATATCTTGGTGTCCATTTTGTACCGAATTTGTGTCTTAAATAAATAATAACAGTTTCCGTAACTGGCTTAGTGTGTTCAGTTCTCAGAGAATAATTTTGTCTGATATCGTGTGGTACTTAAAGACTATACTTCGAGCAAGTAAATTTGGACAACTATATAACTCAGTTGCTGGTGTCTAGGTGATTCGTGTTTAAATTCTGTGTAAAGGATAACTACGCATTAGTCTTTGTCATAAACTGACAGTATGTGGCCTAAGTACATGGAGGAGATCGTGTGAAGAAGAGTTGAAACAGTATGGACTAACATGGATACAAGTGAAAAGTACAGCAGAAGACAGAAGCAAGTGGAGGCGTGCAGTTGAAACCCTATGTTCCACTAGGAACCCAAGGGAACAATAATAATGTGGCCTAAGTATCATTGTTCAGGTCACCCATATGTTATAAGATTCTCTGTCAGTCAGTGTGAGCAATTTTGACTATCCGACAGAAGCAGGAAGTAATGAGAATCAGTGGTTTAAGTCATGAGTTAACGTACTAGACTTTTTGTTTGGAATTGCGATTTCCGATAGTATGGATATGTGGTAGTGTTAGTCAATGAAGGTGGTCGGCTACATTTATGATCTAACTCATTTTTATGCGCGAGAACTCGGTGTGTGCGTGTGATGTATTTTTATCTAGCGTTGGTTTTCAGGGGTTTGATTGATGATAGGATTGACCACGAGCTGACATCATTTGGAGAACTATTGGAAAACCACCAGGGAGTACTGAACAGCTGTTTCGTCCTTGTTTGGGACTCTTCAGTGGGGGCGCACCCACTGGGGTTCAAACCCAGGACACTTCGGTTACAAGGTGAACTTGTAGACTATTCGGCCACTGGAACTCGACTCAATGGTGTATGTATTCCAACTTCTGCCAATTCTCAGAAGTCAGCTAGTAATCAATCCCGATGCACTTTTTTCGAGGAAAAGTCGTAGATTGGTCCTTATGGTCTGATAGTTTTTCTAAGCTTATATCTGCCTAAAGTTCTACCAGAGAGAAAAGTATTATTACTCGTATTTAGTTGAAGTATCTCATTGCGTTGTGCGTCGTTATTACCTCCGTCGTAATTCACTTAACTACTTCACCGTCTCTCTCCAACTTCATGTGACTTTCAAGAGCGACAAATGATGAGTTGACACTAATAATTTAACTGTAAGTAAAGTAAGGATCACAATATGGTGGGGATGCTGATCTCCCACACAATCATTCTCAAAGTCATTACGTTAGTTACTCAGTCAATATTTTAACATTCTGCAATTTTAACTGCATGTCATCCATTCTGTTTTAGGATGTTATCGATGCATTCTAGTCTTGACTTTATGTCGTTATAAGCGCATGCAAGTCAGATACTTTATTGGTAATTATAATTTACCACTAGTTGGTTCATTCAATATTGGAGATCGGATGTTCGGCCAGAAAGACTAAGCGGGCAATAAGTGGCACTCTGGCAATGTCCCAATCAAGAACTTATCGCTCAGCAAATGTGCAGAAGTGGGAAGCCGTGACCAGTAGGGTACATCGGGTTGAAGATGAACTCACCGAAGAAGACATTGCGAAATGGTCGCAATTCGCAGAAATTAGAATTCAAGGACCATTGGATCGGGTCCCAGTGGCTCAATGGTCTACGAGCTAGCTCGCCTTGTAACCAGAAGGTCCTGGGTTCGAACCCCGGTGTGTACTGATGAAGAGTCCCAAACTAGAACGTAGGAAACAGCTGTCCAGTACTCCCAGGTTTTCCAGTGGTTCTCAAACTGATGTCAGCTCATGATGACATCCTCCATGCAAATGCGCAGAAGGAAATGGAGATGCCTAGATTGAATATACGCTGAGGAGATCGTTGAGTGACATGAAGCGCCACACAGGCCCTCGAGTGGAAGCTGACTGAGAAGCTACATGTTGGATGTTGGTCCAAAGGTGACATGAAGAAAGTTGAAATTTACGTGCAATCGTATGAAGCCAGCTGAAAAGGAATTTGGCGAAAAGACTGAATTAACGGCTTTCTATTGAGAATTTATGTTCCGCTTGGAACCCAAGTAATCTGTGAGAAGTATTGTTTCGGAAGTTGTCTCTATGATTAGAAAGTCTTCTCACCTGTGAAAGACATAATCCTCCTGAGTACTGACGTATAACCCGTCTCTTTCTTAGGTATGAAGGCGATGCAGATGGAATGTTGATGGCCTCGTTGGAATATTTTGTTACTTAAGAATGTTTGTTTATCCAGGGAAGCGCTTTCCCCCTCAGTTCCTTAGCATAATGTCGTCACTGACCTTGGTTGTATTTAGTTCTGTTCATTAGAGTTTTTTGAGGTAATGTGGCCTTAAGCAACAATCGTTCTGGTCAGTTTCGCTAAATGGATGGAAGACAGCACTGTCAACTATGTATCTTTTTTAAAGGATTTCATCATGAGCTGATATCGGTTAGAGAATGTGTCAACCACTTCACTAATTTGGGAAGTTGCATCAGCCAGCTTCAGCTGACTGGTTTCTGTCGAAATCTCAGCCGCGATACAAAAGGCTCGTGTGGCATTTACCAAATTACGCCATCTATGGCGTAGACGTGATGACGTCCGGCTGGTCATCTGATCAAACGACGTGTGTACTGCATAGCACTTCACTCTCTCTTTATTCATAGCTACATGGCATGGCCGTTGAAAGTGGAAGAAATGAAAGGGCTAGTGTTCTGTGCTCGTAGATGTTTGCATTCTATCTCCTGCATTAATTCGTATAATTTGGTGAATAATAATACGGTTAGGTGCAAAGTGTTAGGTAAAGAGGATAAATCAATCGATAATGTGAACTTATATTGATCGAGACGGCTAGGACATGTGTAGTCATTGCCTGTGTCAATGGGAAATGTTAGCTGACATAGGGTCAGGTTGTAGAAGAGCTAGTGAGAGTCAAACGAAAACGTTGCATCAGTACATGAAACCTATGACAGTTAATGTGAGTCGGCCACGTAGGGAGGTGCAAGCTTCCCTGTTGGAATCATCGGGATTCTTAGAATCAGTGACTTGAGGCTTGAAATCGTTCTCAATGGCTGGCAAAGATGCATTCACTATTTGTGATGTCGCATATCAATTATGTCCTATTGTTTTTTTGGTGTAACTATTCTTTCTACCTTGTGTGCCGTAAATGTTAAAACCATTCAGACAGTTCCAGAAATTTAGGAACTTTCATTGACAATTTAATTGGTGGATGGTGACTAGCAGTGGAATCCAGGATGCCCATTTCGTCCTATTTGGGACTCGTCACTGGACGTACCTGCATTCGGCAGTGAGCGATGATGATTCCACCGAGCCTCAAACCCAGTGGCCATGGTTTCAGACACCAAAGGGTTATCCACAAGAGCCACTTCTTGTGCGACGGGTCATATTAATAATGAAATTTTATGGCCATCTCTTCTGCTCTCGGGACCCAAGTGCTCTAGTGGATAACGGTTTGGCGTTTGAAACCATGGACACTGGGTTCGGGCCTCAGTGGGAACATCATCACTCACTGAGGAATGCAGGTACCTCCAGATGACGAGTCCCAAATAGGGCGAAGCGCGCTTCCTGGATTCAACTGCTAGTCACCATCCACCAATTCACTTCTAATTACATGCCCAGATATCGTCGA